ACAACGCCCCCAAACACCCCCCCTTGCAGCCGCCAACCCCAACGAAACAACGTCCCCAAACACCCCCCCTTGCAGCCTCCAACCCCCTCCGCCCCAACCCCCCAACGAAACCCAAACCCGGCTAGCCCCAAGGGAAGGGCTGCACAGAGACTGTCCAGGAAAGTATCCAAGCGCGTTACAAAATCCAACCCGGGGCCAGATCCTCCACCGGAGCTAAACACTTCGCGCGGATTTACCCCCTAGGTTTGATTTACACCAGCTGGGGATCCCGCCCCGGATCCTTTTCATTCCTTCGGGGGATGGAATCAAAGCCCCCAAAGCGGGGGTGTGGGGGGGGTCACTCACCCAGCACCGCATCCAGGAGGTCCCAAAGTAGAAAGCAAAGGCGCAGGTAGTTCATCTTTCGCATGTTGGCCCCCGGAATAAAAACTCCATCTGGTTCAGAAGCGCCCCAGCCTTCCGCAGGGCGATCCGGAGCGGGGCATGGGAGGGTCGGGGACGGCGGGACAGCGGCGTGGGTCAAACATCGCTGCCCGCTGGCGTCCGGGGGGGAGGAAGAGGAAGGAGGAGGGGATCGGGGGGGAGAGGCAGAGCCCGAACCGAGCAGGAGACGCTGCACCTGGGCGGCGCGCCTCTCTCTCTGGCTGCTTGCGCGCAGGCTGCCCAAGGAATTCAGATCAGCTGCCCGAGTTTTGGATGAAATCTCCACTCATTGCTCGCCTGCCCTGCCCCGCCTTCCCTTATTCCGCTCCCTCTCCGGCGGCTGTGTATTAGACAGACTTTTCTTTAATCCTTCCTGGCTTCTGCGCTCCCGTCCTTTAAGCCGATTTATTGCAGCAAGAGAGACACGGCAGAGATCACTCCCCCCCACGTCCCCCACCCTCGGCTGCTTGTTTTAGCGTCTTAACCCTTTCCCGGCTGGCAAAAATATAGACCCCCCCCCTCAGCCTCCCCGGTTAGCGCCTGTGGCTGGCACGGGCAAGGCGCGCCGCTGGAGAGCCAGGCGCCGTTGGGGTATGTCTACACTACGGGATTAATCCGAATTTAGATAATTCGAATTTGGGAAACAGGTTGTATAAATTCGATTGTGCGCGGCCACACTAAGCACATTAATTCGGTTTTTAACCACATTAATTCGGTGGTGTGCGGCCACACTACCCCATTAATTTAACCACATTAATTCGGTGGTGTGCGGCCACACTACCCCTAATTCGAATTAACAAAATCGATTTTGGCGCTACTCCGCTCGTCGAGGTGGAGTACAGAAATCGATTTTAAGTGCCCTTTAATTCGAATTAACTGGCTCTGTAGTGTGGACGGGTGAAGGGTTAATTCGGATTAACGCAGCTAAATCCGAATTAAAGTCGTAGTGTAGACCTTGGTAAATAACCCCCCGTCCTAGGACTCACGCCGCTAAGAGCCCCGAACTCCTCAATGCAGCGGTTCAGCTGTCCCTTTGATCTGAAGTTACAACCTGGGCCAGGGCGCCGCAATCCACTGGGGTTTCTTAAAGGGGGCCCTTGCCCTGCGCTCCCCTGCCTTACGCTATCACCCCAGGCCTTTGTTCTTTATTTTAGAAAAAGACTGTTCTTTAGGGGAGGGAATGGCGCCTAGTGGTTAGAGCAGGGGGGGCCTGGGAGACAGAACTCCTGGGTTCCATGCCCAGCTGTGGAAGAGACTGGGGTCAAGAAAACGGAGGCAGGGCTCCTGAGTTTTAGTTCGATGTCTTGCACTAGGGCCTAGTGGTTAGAGCAGAGGGGGGGTGGGAAGCAGGACGGCTGGCTCCTATTTCTAGCTCTTCAGAGAATGGGGTCTACACTGGGGGCTAGAAGCCAGATGCCCCAGGTTCCATTGGTGCAGCTGGGAGGGAATTGAGCTCTAGTGCCCCAGAGATGGGGAAAGCCAGAAGCAGGAATCCTGGGGTCTCTCCCCTGCTCTTGAGGCAGTGTGGCCTAGTAGTGGGAGCTGCAGGGCTGGGTGGCACAACTCCTGGAGTCTGTTATTTCTGTGCATAGAGCAGAGCTGGTCAGGAAATGACTTTTTCTTTCCCCGTGAAAAACTCTGAAGAGAACATACTTTTTTTTTTGTTTTGGCAAAATTTCCACAAAACAGATTTTTTTTTAAAATGTAAAACTGTGGCCGAAAACAAACCCTGCTTGGTTTTCTAGCATCCTGTTTTTTCAACACCAACCTGGACATTTTTGTTGTAAACATTTTTTTCAGTGTGAAAACCTTTTTTTCGTGGAAACATTTGTCATTAGAAAGTGTTTTGAACTGTTCTACCCTAGGGGGGCATAAATGTCCCCCCACCCCACTTTAAATATATAAAACAGATAAAAGCAGATGTCCCCCCTCAATAGACTTTCTATCCCCTTACCAGACTTTGTCACTGGTATTGTAACAAATCCACAGCATCTTGGACTTCAGGCTTCTCAGTAGGTCACACTGTTTTTCTATTCAGAATGCCCCAGCACCATGTCCTCTTGCTCAAAACCACCACTTGAGCTGTAGGTGAAACCCTCTGGGCTGTTAGCAGTATAGGGCCTAAGACACACAGCTGAGCAGTTCCTTATTCCAGCCAGTGGAGGGCAGTGGTGCACACAGACAGTTGGCCATTTCATTACAGCATTGAGCTGAAATCTGTTCTCTGGAAGATGTCCCAATTAAGAGGATTTCCCAATTAAGTGGAGTGGATTGTGCAAATATGTTTGCTTAAAGAATGAGAGCCAGGCAATTCCGCATTCAAGCTGATGGCGTCCTTAGCTGGCCCTGCCGCACCTTCTCATCTCTGCCTCATGAAAGGCTGAGTAAAGATGCAAATACTAACCCTCAATGACAATTTAATGGCTCTGCTCTGCCTGTCGCTATTTTAGCATTAAAACTGGTGAATGGTGGGGATGTTTTTAATTTAACGGCTATAATCTACACTTACTGTGCACGTCCTCTGTTCATGCTCCTTTCTGACGTTTCTGCCAAACACGTCCCGTGACTAGGACGCTGGGTTAGGAGGGAGGAGACATTTGCTGTGTCCTTGGCTGGGTCCCTGACATGTTGTCTCACCCCACCTCTCTGGGGCGAGGCAGCCCCCTTCTCATCTATATACAGGGACATCAGGCTGGATCAGACCTGGCCATGTGGCCCAGGGGCCTGGCTGACAATAGCCAGCACTAGATGCATCCAAGGAAGGTGTAAGTATCTGCAGTGGGAAGGTGTGGGATAATCTACCCCCCACTTTAGGTCTCATCCCAATCTCTAATAATCAGAAATTGGATTAAGCCACAAGGTTTTGTTTTGTTTTTAATATAGGTAACGCTAACAAAAAACCTCTGGCTGTTTGTGTGACCCATATAAACGTCCAATCCCCCTTTGAATCTTGCTGGGTGCTTGGCCTCAACTACTTCCTGGAGCAATGAGGTCCACAGTCTAATTATGCATCGTGTGGCAAAGCCCCTCCTTTGATCAGATGTTAATTTCTCTGCCTGTCCCCTTGCTCCTGTTACGAGGCAGGGAGAGCAGATGCTCCTCCTCTACCTTCCCTAGGCCATGGGTTATTTTATAGGCTCATCAAAGTTGCTTTGTTTAGCTTCAACTCCGTTTGAAATCCTGTGCAAAACAATGTATATAGACACTCAGCTCCAGCGAAGCCAAATCAATATAGCCAGGTTTAAATCAAATTAAAAGTCTCTCCCACACATTTAAAAAAAAAATCACACTTTTAGGTATGGCCTCACTTTCCCCATCCGGAAAATACGTATAATGACACTTACACACCTTTGCACCATTCTATTCTACACCGATTCTTCCACTGCCTTCATAGTAGTGCATGAATGTCTTGAGACGTGCTTTGAGAGTCATGGTGGGAAACCACCATAAGTGCTATCATGATTTTTAAATCTTCTAGGTTAAGATTTATATTTTAAATAAGCCAACCCCCTGAACACCAGCCCCAGCATATATCGATGTCTACAGGGGAAAAGAGAAATCAATTCATTCTTAAAATTCCTTAGAGTGAAATGTGTTCTCTGCCCTTTTTCATCCTCCAGTGAAAGCCTTGGTTACATATTGCAAAGGAATGAGGCAAAGGTTGTATGTTAATAAGGTCTAATTTTATTTGATCATGGATTTGACAGTTCGGCAGGTCCCCTGCCAGTGAGATGCTGCTGTAGCTTTTGGGTCTTGCATGTCTGTATTGACACGAGTATAAAGAAACAGCGAGGCGAGAAACTAATGAAGTCTGAGGCTCTGTCTTCAGAATGAGCCACTTAGAACAGACTGTTGTAAGGCAGGATCGCCCAGTGGTTAGGGCACCCGCCTGTGACTTGGGAAACCTTGGGTGAAAATTCCTGCTCTGGCACAGGGTTCCTGTGTGTTTTTGGGCCAGGCCCTAACCTGTCTATGGCGCAGATCCCCATCTATACCCTGGAGATAATAGCACTGCCCTATCTCACAGGGCTGTTGTGAAGATAAATCCAGTAAAGATTGGGAGGTGCTTGGGTGGCATCATAATGGGAGTCAAATATCTAAACTAGGCAGAAAGCTGCAGTCAGTTGGGCTTCCAAGTGCAATGAAAATGGGGTCTTGCAGGGAAACATCTGACACCAAATGAGCAACTTTGGACACCGCCAAACGTGATAAGAGATGCTTCACAAATGCATACCTGTGCACCCTTCCAACAGGCCACGTGGCTCGGCTGCCCTGAAGGTACCACCCAGCAGAGGGTATTGCAGTGGGTGAAATGCCAGTTGGACTGGCTGCTGCTGGGGGGGGGGGGTGCTCCTCCTGAGCTGTGAAGTTAAGATGTGGATCCAAACTTCCCTCTGCTGCAGGGTGGTTCAGCTCTGAGCTGTGAACCAGGGCCTGTCTCTGAAATAGAAATACAGGGGTTGCCGTACTGGAGGAGTCCAATGCTCCGTCTAGTCCTGTAGCCTGTATTGGCCACTGCAGCTGATCCGTAATGCATCTTGTCAATTCTGAAGTCTGGTACCATAGGAGGGAAAATCCCTTCCTGACCTCCACACGAGACCAGCTCCTACCCTGAAGTTTGAGGTTTGATGTCCCTTATCACAGCCTCAGCTTGCAGAGCTGCAGATATTATTAACAGTTATAGCATCATCAAGCTCAGCCTACACTTCAGCCAGTGTTTGTCTGAAGGCCTTCCTAAGCCCCAGATTTCACAGGTTGGGTACCATAATCAGCAGGTGTTTAACGCCACATACTCCAGCTTTGCCATCTCTGCAGTGTACTAGGCTTTTCTTGTACCCGGAGGCATGCTATAATACAGAAGCATGGAGCACAATTGGAACACCAGTTCTGAACCTTCCCCCTAACTTAAGGAAATCCTGATTCAAACCACGGCTTGGGCCTGTCTCTGTAATATAAACAAACCAGAACACCCAATCCAAGCAGCCTTGAAATCTGAGAGACCAGATCCAAAATTTGGGTCTCCCTCTATAACAGGGCATCTAATCCAATACACCCACAAACTTCAGAGCTGGATCCAATTCCAGATCCTTACTTCAGGCCTCAGGTCCTTCTCTCGTTACAAAAGGGAAACTGACGACAGGCGTGGATGGAGCTGGAATTCAGAAGCTGGAAGTCATACAGAGTGCAGG